GAAACAGAGACTTCAACTACACAAACGACAGAAACACCAGCCACAACAACGGAAACAGAAGCAATAACTACGATAGCGACAGAAACAATAGAATCAGAAACACCAGTCACGACAACAGAAACACAAGTCACGACAACAGAAACACAAGTCACGACAACAGAAACACTAACATCATGTTCAACGTCATCACCAACGGTACCAACTACAGAAACAACAGAAACAGAAACACCAACTACACCAACAACGAAAACAGAAATACCAACATCATCACCAACAGCACCAACAACAGAAACATCAACAGAAACAGAAACAGAAACAGAAACACCAACTACAACAACGACAGAAACACCAACCGCAACAACAGAAACAGAAACACCAACCACAACAACATCAGCATCAACAGAAACAGAAGCAATAACTACGATATTGACAGAAAAAATAGAATCAGAAACACCAGTCACGACAACAGAAACACCAACATCATGTTCAACGTCGTCAACATCATCACCAGTTTCACCAACAACAGAAATAGAAACACCAACTACAGAAACACCAGCCACAACAACCTCAACAGAAACAGAAACATCACCAACATCAACTGCAACAACAGAAAGTCCAACAACACCAACTACAGTAACAACAGAAACAGCAACAACAGCAACATCAACAACAACAACATCATCATCATCACCAACTACTTCCAAGTTTCCAATTTCGACTGATGGTGCATGCGGGCCTAAAAATGGAAATGCTGTATGTCCTAATGATGATTGTTGTTCAGTAAATGGATTTTGTGGATCAACAAAAGGTAATGGTCCTCGATTTCATTTTTAATTTATTTTTAATTTATTTTTTAATTTATTTTTTAATTCATTTTTTTTTTTAATTCCCATAATATAGATCATTGCGGAACAGGTTGCCAACAAGATTTTGGATTTTGTGGTATAATTAATGATGGTTTAGAAATAATTACTACTTGTTCCAACAAAAATACTATTGCTATTACTTTTGATGATGGTCCAAGACAGGTAATTTATATATGTTTTATTAATTTATTATTCTTATTTTTATCGTTTATCAGTTATCTCATTAATCTTACGCTTTTTTTTATTACTTTTTTTTTTTAGATAACTTCTAGACTTCTTGATGAGCTTGCTGGTCGAGAAGCAAAAGCAACATTCTTTATTAATGGTCATGCAGAACCAGGATCTTGCATTTATGATTTCGCCGATATAATTCAACGTGCTCATACCGAAGGTCATTTATTAGGTTCACATACTTGGTCACATCCTCATTTAGCTCAAGTAAATGAATCAGAAATTGTTTATCAATTAGATCAATTAGAAACGGCATTTAATAAAATTCTTGGTACCACACCAAAATATTTCAGACCTCCATTTGGTGAAGGATTGAATGATCCTACACTTCGTAAGGAATTAATAAAAAGGGGTTATAAAGTAGCATTATGGGATATTGATACTCGAGATTTTGATGAGGATTTTAAAACATCAAAAGAACTATTTTTACAACAATTTAATGCATCAGAAAAAGGTACACCACATATTGTTTTAAATCATGACAGAGTAGTAACTACAAGTGAATTATTGGGTCTGTTTGAAGTAGAATATTCTATTTCTCAAGGATATCAAGTACAAACAGTAGCTGATTGTACAGGTGATATTAATCCCGAAGATTGGTATAATGGACCAGTAATATTTGGAACTAGAGATGATACATGGAAATGTACTTCGGATGATATGCATTTACAAATTCCCAGTTTAGAATCTTAATCTTAGTTAAAAAATTGTATTATAAACATTTAATAGCATAACATTACATTAATAGAATAGTATTAACATAAGCACAGTCCGATTAAAAAATTGTATTATAGACATTTATTAATAGAATTACGTACATTAAAAGCATAGTCCGATTAAATTAAGTTTTAAATAAAGTTAATAAAAAAATTTCAATTCTCTTATAATATAATCAAATGTAATAAATTGTTGAATGTATTAAATGTGTGTGTATGTTATAAATAGCCGTTAATGAAATTTAATTGTTAATTTGAATAATACAGAAACTAGATTTATTTTTGATTTAATGTTATAATAACTGCTAATGAATTTAATGAATTTGAATTTGAAGAATTGACTAACAATTTAGAAACATTTCTTATCGATACTAAAGCTTCTTGGTTAAGAACTCATTTTTCTCTGGTCTATCATAATATTTTTGAAAAACAAAACTTCAAAGATTTAGAAAATTTTTACAATGATATTATTAACAAATATCCAAACCTAATTTTCGATTCTAATGATTTTACCTCTATTCCCGAATCTGCACTAATGTCTCTTCTCAAACGAGATGATTTGCAAATCGAAGAAATTAAAATTTGGGATTATTGCTCTACAAATGTTGAAGAATGGACCAATGAAAATTTCTTTTCACTTAAAACTTCTTTACAAAAATGTCTCCCTCATAATCGTTACTTTCAACTTTCAAGTGCAGAAATTTATGATAAAATTAAACCTTACAAAAAAATTCTCAATGAACAACTTTGGAAAGATATAAATCAGCATATAGCACTTGCTGATCGACCAGTAAAATCAGTTATTTTACCACCAAGAACAACTTTAATTACTGAATTACCTTCATTTGCAAAGGAACCTTTTTCAACTATCGTTTCCGAAGAACATGCAGCAAAAATTTCTGCATGGCAAATGATCCTTATGATTTTCAATTAATTTTAAATGGGACTAGAGATGGATTTGCTCCTCAAACATTCTGGAATATTTGCCATGGTCATTCTAATACAATAGTTGTAGCAAAAGTTAAAGAAACTGACGAAATTATTGGAGGTTATAATCCTTTAGCATGGGATAACACTACTGATGGTAAAATGGGCACAAACGAATGATAGTTTCATTTTCTCATTAGAAAATGGGAATATCCAAAATTCAATTCTTAGCAGAATAAAAAATCCCAACGTGCAATTCGTAATTTATCAAAAGGTAATCAAAATAGATGTGGACCACGATTTGGATGTGATTTCTTTTTGCGTAGTAAAGAATCTAATTTTACTTTGGATGATCTTAGTTACTATGATTGTGTCGATTATGAAAAAACCTATAAGAATACCATCGTCAAAATGCTATTCAATTGTCAATTATGAAGTATTTAAAATTATTAAGAAAAACTAATTAGAAATTAATTATTTAGGAATAAAATAATGTTGTTTAAATATGACACTAAATTTTAATTTATTCTAAAATTTATTCTTTCTCAAATTTTAATTTATAAAGTATTCTCGCCCATTTAATTTGATATTTTTGTCAGTAATGTGATGTAATACAAATTTTCAAACATGCATGATATTTTATTTGTTGTCTTTTTCGTCTTTTCCGTAACCTTCAAAGATAAAGATAAAAAATGGCATTAAAACTTTTTGACAAGTTATCTCAAAACTTTATTGAACTTCTAAATGACAAAGATGATTGCAATGTAATCATTAAAATTGAAAATAAGGAAAAATCATTTACGGCTCATTCTAATGTATTAAAATGTCGGTCACAATATTTCCGTAAAGAGTTAGAGAATATTCAGCCAAACGAAAACAACATTAAAATAATTATTATCAAGTCAAATATATCTACCCAAATTTTCAATGTTATTCTTCAGTAAGTCATTATTAATTATAAAAATATCATTATAATGAAATTTACATATTATTATCATTAATTTACTCAAATTATTATTAATTTTTATGTAGATATATTTATGGTGGGATTGTTAATTTGAAAAATACAGAAACTAAATTTATTTTTGATTTAATGTTAACTACTAATGAATTTGAATTTGAGGAATTAACTAACAATTTAGAAACATTTCTTATTGATACTAAAGCTTTTTGGTTAAGAACTCATTTTTCTCTGGTATATCATAATATTTTTGAAAAACAAAACTTCAAAGATTTAGAAAATTTTTACAATGATATTATTGCCAAATATCCAAATCTAATTTTTGATTCTGATGATTTTACCTCTCTTCCCGAATCTGCACTAATGTCTCTTCTCAAACGAGATGATTTGCAAATTGAAGAGATTAAAATTTGGGATTATGTCATCAAGTGGGGAATTGCTCAGAATCCTGGTTTACCTACAAGTGTTGAAGAATGGACCAATGAAAATTTCTTTTCACTAAAAACTTCTTTACAACAATGTCTCCCATATATTCGTTACTTTCAACTTTCAAACGCAGAAATTTATGATAAAATTAAACCTTACAAAAAAATTCTCAATGAACAACTTTGGGAAGATATAAATCAGCATATAGCACTTCCTGACCGACCAGTAAAATCAGTCATTTTACCACCAAGAACAACTTTAATTACTGAATTACCTTCTCGTGCAAAAGAACCTTTTTCAACTATGATTTCTGAAGAACATGCAGCAGAAATTTCTACCTGGATTGACCGTAAAACAATTAATTATCCAACAACAAATAATCCTTATGATTTTCAATTAATTTTAAATGGAATTAGAGATGGATTTGATCCTCAAACATTCTGGAATATTTGCCATGGTCATTCTAATACAGTAGTTGTAGCAAAAGTTAAAGAAACTGACGAAATTATTGGAGGTTATAATCCTTTAGCATGGGATAACACTACTGATGGTAAATGGGCACAAACGAATGATAGTTTCATTTTCTCATTAAAAAATGGGAATATCCAAAATTCAATTCTTAGCAGAGTAAAAGATCCCCAATTTGCAATTCTTAATGTATTAAAAAATGATCAAAATATATATGGTCCATTTTTTGGAAGGGATTTCTATTTGTGTAGTTTTAAATCTAATTTTACTTTAGATAACCTTAATTACTGTGATTCAAATGATTGTTATGAAAAACCTATAAGAACATCATCGTCAGATTACTTTTCAATTGTCAATTATGAAGTATTTAAAGTTACTAAGAAAAATAATTAGAAATTAATTTTCTAGAAATAAAATAATGTTATGAAAATTTTTTTTTTTTTTACTTTGACATTAAATTTGTATTCCAAATATTTATTAAATAACTTAAAATTTGAGTCAAAGAATAATGATATTTTTTAAAATAAATCTTATTTTTTTAATAAAAATTTATAATTATAATAATACTTTATTTTTTTCTCGGGAATTCTGTGAGAGTTTTTGTTGTTGCTTTAAATAAGATAAATAAATAAAATAAAATGTAAAAGAATTCTCTTAATTTGAAAATATTCTGAAATTCGTTTTTATATTATCATGAGGGTTGAAATAATACAAAAATAATTCCAATTCTCTTCATTATATTACTCCATCATTCTACTGTTTTAGCACTGATAAATTTAATAAATATAGAATCCATAAAAACGTAACACGAAAATCTTGCATAATGTAAAGAATATATAGAATGTAGATCATATGATATCAAAAAAATATAAATTGGGGACGCGGATTATCATCTCTTTTTTTTTTTTTTATCTTAATAATTTTGATTATTTCGATTATTATTATATATATCTATCCGATATGCATAATTTAACTTTACGAAGTGGTAGTAATGTTTTAAACTTTTCAAATTTCACATTCATTACCGATTTAAAAACCACACATCATCAATTATTTAGTAGAATTTATTACTTTCATCAACCTCCTCATCATTTTTTTTTTTCACAAAGAAGTCGTAGTGGCGGTGGAGGAGGTGGTGGTGGTGGTAAAATATTTGTTGTCGCCAATTGTCGTTGTTATCAATCATTTTCATCATCATTATCGGCTCCTTCTTCTTCCTCCTCTTCAAATTCTTCTTCTAATTCTAGTTTTAATAATAATATGAAAGAAACCAAAAAACAAACGGATCATCATCACACAAATAATAAAAAATATAAGAAAAATTTATTTGATAATTCTTTACCTAATAAAAATGCATTTCTTAAAGCATTACATAAACAATTAGAAGTTGAAGAAGTTAGTAATAATAATAATAATAATAATAATAAACAAAAAAATTGTAAAATAAAGATTCCAACCGATGCAGCGAAAGTAAGGTTCGTTTCTAAAAATAATTTTTTTTTTTTTTATAAATGAAATTATAATATTTTATTATACTTGAAATATTAACTTTTAAATTTACAATATATAAAAAAATCATATATAATAAAAATTACAAAACAAACAAACAAACGAACGAACGAACACACGAACGTAAAATTATTACAATAAATAATAATAATTTTTTGTACACACAACACAGGCATTCAATAAAGTCAACCAAACATTATCACCTCCCAACATTTTTCAATTAACTTCCTTACAAGCATTAGAATTTTATAAAATTTTACAATCCTCTTATTCTTTAAAACCTTTTTATTATAATTTAATGACATACTTATTACGTCGATGTGCCAATTATGATAGATTAGATTTGGTGGAAATTTTCTTTGCTCAATTTATACAAGATATTAATGTTAACAAGAAGGAGAAACATTTAATTGAAAGATTTATGATAAAGGTTTGGAATACGTTATCGGGGATCTACGCGGAAAAAGGATTATTTGATGAAGTTAGGATTCGTAAGTATGATATTTCCGTTTCTTTTATAATTTTAATTTAAAACTTTAATAATTTATTTTTAATTTTAATTTAATTTAATTTTTTTAACTTTTTAATTTTTGATAATTTTAATTTTACTTTTTTTTTTTTTTAATAGTATACGAAAGAATGGATAATTATGCCACACGTCCTAACAATAAGACATACACGACATTAATAAAATCAACCAAAAATATTCATCATTGTTTTATTTACCTGGAAAAATTGATTGTCAAAGGTTACAAAATTAATCTTGAAGCATTAAATTCGGTTCTTCGTTTATGTTTAATCTCATCTTCAACCGGTTCATATCGACAAGAAATTATTAAAATTATCATGAAACAAATGTCAATTTGGGGTATTAATCCTAATGGAGAAACTTTTCGAACATTATTACAAAGTTGTCAAAATTTCGAACATTTGGAAAAGTTATGGTCAAAAATTATGACATTGGGATTTCATCATAATCAAGCGTTACAAGTGGAAATTATGAAAATATGTTTAAAATTGGCGTTTCAGGATGAGGGAATAAAGATTGAAAGTAAATTTTATAATAGTAATAACAGTAGTGACATCTATAATAGTAGTAATAATAATATTGATGTCAGCTCTGTCAGTTCTATTAGTCCTGTCAATCCCATTAGTTCCGTTAGTCCTATCAATCCTGCCAGTCTCGTCGGTTCCGTCGATTCGGTCAATTCTGTTGATTCCATAATTAGTAATGACAACAATAAGAATATCAAAAATATCAAAGATAAATATATTCCAACCAAGAAATTTATTGAGACAAGGGAAGCGGGATTATCAAAATGTTTAGATTATTTATTAAGAATGCATCGTAAATCACAAGGCGAAATGGCAATTGGGGCATATAATAATTTATTAAAAGATTGTATATTAAAAGGTGATATTGATAGAGTAATGAAAATATTGGAAATAATGTGGTCAAAAAATTTAGAACCTTCGATACGAGTGTATCAACAATTATTAGATAATCTAGGAAGATTATTTGTCATTCATTCCAATAATAATATAATTATTCATCCAAATAATTTATCTCCTCAAACCATTTTCATTAAATCCCAACGAAAATATTTATGGAAATTATTAGAAGAAATGTTTGCCAGACCTAAAACCAGTATAATGTCAAAAAGAATAATTAATTCTATAGTACACGCGTTAGGTAGATTCGATGACACACGTGGACTATTAGAATTTTATGAAGCGAGAATAAAATTTGATCGCATTAATAATAATAATAATAATAATAATAATAATAATAGAAATAAAAGAGGAAATACCAATAATCATATTAATATTAATTACATTAATAATAATGATAATCACCTACTAAAGAAAAAAAAGAACTACAACAATAACAAAGAAACGATAGAAAATAATTTCGCGATGCGATCAAGTAATGTGGCTATGGATATTTCATTATTCAATTCATTCATGAAAGCAATTTCACATATTCCACCAATAATAATAAATTCATCACAGGCGTCTCCTTTATCACAGAGTAATTTAACAACAACAACAACTACTACTACAAAAACTACAACAAATACTACTATTACTACAACAAATAATAATAATAATAATAATAATTCAATATTTTGTGATCCTTTATCATCTTTAGAATTATTCAATAAATTACCAACATACCTTGAACCGAATCAAGAAACCATAGAAACTTTATTTTCAAATTTAAGAACATTAATTGATTTTAAAAAATTTGGAATTTTCTATTTTAATTCCATGTTATCAAGAACATCAGTTAATATTACAAAAGGAGGATTAGAAAATGTGATTATGAATGTTATCAAGAATAATATTATGAATGGTTGTAATAATAATAATAATCATAATAATAATAATAATAATCATAATCATAATAATAATAATCATCATCATAATAATGTGAGTAATACATATGATTCTGGGTATTATTATTCTGGTGATGTATTATCAAAGAGGAATAAATGGAATAGAGGAAATAGAGGGAATAAAGAGAGTGAAGGGAATGAAGAGAATAAAGAAGCAGAAGAGATAAAAAAGATTATTGGTAATAATAATTATAATATTGTTTGTCAAGTGGTAAAATGCATAGTAAATGAAATAATTAATGTTTATGATAAAAAAGATGTGGTAGAATGTTTAAAGATATTAGAAAAATTGGAAAAAATTAAAATTTAATTTTATTTTAAATGTACATTTATTTATTTATTTATATTTTTTATTTTGATTAGATATTTATTATTTTATTTAGATAATTTAATATAATTTTTGATTATTTATTATTACAAAAAAAAAAAAAAAAAAACTTTTAAAATCTTTTTTTTTCTAGAAAGCAATGAGGATTGTAAGAATAACAGTAAGAGAAATTCCTAAAATTTGATTATAATATTTTTTATAATATTTTATTACTTAAAATACAAATAAAAAAAAAAATAAAAAAAAGATACAAGATCTATTGAGCACTTGCAGTAGATGTGGATGCCATTTTTTGAAGGTTTTGTGTATATTGTCTTTGAAGTTCGATAACCTTATAATTAATAATTAATAATATAATTAAAATTATTATTTATTATTAAGAAAAGATTCAAATTGTTTTGATTGTTTTTCTTTTTATTACCTCATCTTTTTTATTCTCTGATTTCTGATTTAAATCTTCTAATTGAGCTTCTACGCGTTTACTGAATAACAAATATTTTTTGAGTATTGTAATTATTATTATTATTATTATTTCTCTCTTAGAAAATTCGTAAAATAAATAAAATAAAAATAAAATAGTTCAACCAACATTTCAGATTTAATATATTCCAACCGTTTTGATACATTTAAAGTGGCTTCGGGTTTATCTTGTTTAACTAATACGGGCCCAATCAATTTATAAATATTTGAATCATCATTTAATAATTTAAATTCCTACGTTGTTTATTATTAGATTTATTATTATTAGATTTTATTATATTTGAAATCGAAATATGAAAGATTTGAAAATTTTAGAATTATTTCAAAAAGGTAAACCAATAAAACCAATAAAAGTAATTGGGTGAGTAAAAAGTTGTTGTAAATACCTTTTCTACAAGTTCATTCTCTTGTAATTGAGAATCAAGCTTCTGTCTTGCTTCTATAACATTAGCTCGATCTATTTGAATATTTTAAATATTAAATTAAATTACATTAAATATGATATATATATATTTATATTTATTTATTTAAATTATAATAATTATAATATTTAAATAATTTTTTAATTCGCTTTAAATTTTTAAACCATTAATATAAGTAAAATAATAATAATAATAATGAGAATACCTTTTTGAAGTTTTTGATATTCTTCAGATACTTTTTCCAGACGGGATTCAAGGGACAAGGACATGATGAGATAATAATTATAATATTTATGATTATGATGAATGAATATTTTTTCTAAAGGTGAAGAAAACGCGTAATATAAAAAAATTAACAAAAATCACAAAAACGATAGCAAAGAGAGAAAAAAAATATTAATATTTATAATTTTTTTCGGAAAGATAATATGACGACACAGTTTGTGTTACTAACTAGCACAATATGTACATAATATGTACACGCACTTGATCAACGAACTAGACAATCGTATATATATATAAACTTCGTTTTCCCTATAAAAAAAGTTTAAATTCTTTGTTCTTCAACTTTTCAACTTTCTTCACTTATTATCATTTTATTATTATTATTATTATTATTAATTATTATTATTTCGATATCATTTACCATGGTATGTTAAAATTCCTTCTTATCAATTTTATATGTAAAACATTTATTGATAAAAATCTATTTTTTTTTTTTTTTAAAAAAAAAAAAGACAGCTCCTTCTGAAGTCGAAGATATTATCAAACGTTTACAGGCGAATAAACATGTACAAGAAGTATTGATTATTAACGACTCTGGACAAATTATTAAATCAAGTATGGACTCTGGGTTATCTAAACAATATTCAGATTTAATCACCAAACTTATTGAACAAACTGTAAACGTTGTAAAGGAATTAGATGACACTGTGAGTTTTTCTTTTTTTTTTTATTTTAACGTGATTTATTTTATTTATATTATTCATCATTGGTTTTTTTTTTTTTTTTCTTTCTTTCTTTCTGGGATGACTTTTTTTTTTAGAATGATCTTTCATTCATTCGGATA